ATTATATAATCCGGAAGTATTTCGATAAGATAGTAATATACTATCTCAATAACGTTTTTATTTACTTACGTACTTTAAAGAAGTATAAGCGATACGTACGAAAAATATTTAACGCGCTATATAGAGCCGGATTTTTAATTAATAAAAAAAAGAATGAGTTTTATATATAGAAAATAGTATATTTAGGATCTTTAATATTATTAGGAGAGGTTCGTATAGAACTTAGGAAAATTACGGTAATTAAGGACTGGCCTATATTATAATTATAAATATATATTAAAGAATTCTTAAGGTTTATAAACTTCTATTAGATATTTATTTGTAGATACGTAAGTATCGCGCGGTTACTTAATTACTTAATTAAAAAGGACGTAGAGTTCCGGTAGGGATAAAAAAAAAAGTAAGCCTTTTAAGAGCTAAAAGAGGCTATTTTAAAGGACCCGGTACTTAAATTACTAAACCCTAGTTAACTATTTAAAGTTGAGGCGAATATATTAGATTATATAATCGGTAGATAATTAAGGTAGCGAAACGATGACGGTAAGTTATACCCGGTAGCTTTCTTTTTAAAGAAGCTCGAAGGGGTACGTTAAAACTATTTAATTTACGATAAGGAACTACTTGTTATTATCGAAATATTCGAGGAATAAAGATTATACTTTAATAATATTAAATATAAAATATAGGTCTATACGGATTATAAAAATCTATAGTATTTTATTATTACGAAGGTCCTTAACGTACGGTAAATATAATAATTAAAGTTTTTTTCGGAATTTAATTTCTAAATTAATTATAAGAAAGGTTTGGAAAACGTTAAAGCAAACGTATTTAGTAGGCGTACCGACTACTATAAGGATATACTTAGAAAGTTACTACTATTACTCGAGGAGGCGCTAAATAGTACCCTTAAGTATTTACTATAGCCGTAAATAGAATACTATATAGTATATCGCGAAAGGGCTATTTTTAATAAATACTAAAGGAAATTAGGTAGTGATATTATAGAGTAATACTAGTAGGAAGAGCTGGAGCTATAAGGTATCTAGAAAGATAATTAGGGAAGACTATAGTATAGGAATCGAGCGTACGTAATACTAAATAATAGGACGGCATTAGTAATAGAGATCTACGGGTTAAAGCTCGGAAGGTATATAAATATTGCTAAAATTATAGAAAAAATTAAATAGTACTTTAATTAACTAAAGATTAAGGACGACGTTAAGGAAACTATCCAATTATACTATACGTACGAAAAAACAAGGGTTACGAAGTATAAGCTTTATAGATTTCTAGAGCTATTACTAATAATAAAATAATTATAAAGTTTAATTATAATAAACTTTATTATTAAATTACTAAAGTCTAAGGATACGGTAATCGGCGTTAAATATAATAGTATATTAACAGTAATCGATAAGTTTATTAAATAAATATACTTTTTACTTTATAAAAAAACCTAATTAGTAAAGTAATTAACGGATATAGTACTACGGTATATTACATTAATATATATATAGCTAAAGGAATTTATTACGGACCGCGACACTAAATTCGTATCGAAGTTTTGGAAAGCGTTAATAACGAAGCTCGGGGTATATTTAAGGAATTATATTAATTTCGAGCAAAACGACTAGATTAAACTGTTACCTACGGTATAATTAGCATATAATATATTACTAATAGAGACGATTAAAGTTACGCCGTTCTTCGTAAACTTTAAATATAAGGCAGACTTACGGCAGGGACTTAGCGTTAAGGTACCTAGGGCTAGGGTTAAAGCAAATAAACTATATATACTCTACAGAAAAATTAAGTAAAAACTAGAGTTTATAAAGGAAAGGATACGGAAATACTATAATACTAAAAGGATCGAGGGACCTTACTTTAAGAGGGGGGTTTTAGTTTTAATTTATTTTAGAAATTTATTTTATAAAAGGATTTTTTAGGAGATGGGATTAAGGGGGGTTGGAATTTTTAAAGTTA